CTGGGTGCAGGTGTATTCCTGAACTTCTAAAGGGAACCTCCAGTGTTGATGGGATAAGCCCATTGCAGACATCCAAATGCTTGGAGCAAATGTCCAGTCCTCAAGCAGCAAAACAAGCACTGAGCTGGTAAAATGAAAAAGCTCTCATAAGCAAACATGGTGTGTTCTAAATTGAAATTTTCAGAAGAAAAACGTATTTTTCCATAGTGGTGTTTCAAAACCTAATGATTTCTGTTTCCGCTTGACATTCAGACTTAAATGTCCTCTAAGCCTTTCTTGTACATGGGGTGACATTAGCCTTCTTCCAGTCCTCTGGGATGTCCTAAAATCTCCATAACTGGTCAAAGGTTATGGAGAGCAGCCTCTCAGTGACATCAGCCAGCTCTCCTAACATCCTTGGTAGATTATGTGAGGGCCCATACATTTTTACAGTGCTGGTAGACAGAGAAAATTCTGGTAAAACATTTCAAATGTTTTGTTTCTGTCAATAATATCTTCCCCCCCGCCCCTGCCTTTTCATATCAAAAAGAGTTTGGAATTGGTTGTAGTATGAAATAGTATAATATTTTGACCTTTCATCCCTATTTGGGATGCAGGCAAATGCTGAAATCCCAGCCCTTCTTGGGGAACAGAGATTCCATTCTCTGACCAGATCCACAAAAGTATATTTCCACTGGTTTTGCTGGCTGGCTACTTCAATACTTTGTCTGTGATGACTTGTAATTCACTGCAGATTGAATCTGTGGTGTGTCCACATGGCTGGTCTGGAGAGGCTGAGGGCAGTTAATCTTTCTTGCTCTGTGTTGTGCTTTCAAATTAATATCCAGATTTCTTTCCGAAGATAAATTTTCCTTCCAAACCAGCATTTGGTAGTGCACTGCACAGCTGCCTGATACATGTTCCATGCACAAATGAGGATTCTGGTGCTCTCTCAGTCTAGCTACAGGCTGTTATATGAAATGAGGATGTTTTAAAATTTGAGACAGCTTCTTGGTCGTCTATTGTTTGCAATCTCACAGACTGCCATATATCTTTCTCCTCAGAAGTTACTTTTTCCCCTTCCCACCATTGTGGGGAGCTTTTTCCTGCCGGGCTCTGTGCAGTGTGTCTCTGAAGCAGTTTTATGGTGTTCCCCAGAAGCATGCTTTTGTCAGGCTGCCTCAAAGAGTAATCCAGGGAAAAGTCTCTGAAGCAAGAAACATCCTTTTCTGTCTGGCTTTGAGGTGTTATCTCCCCTCTTCCAAAATGCAGTTGGCTCCCTCTACAACCCTAAGCTGTTTTGTTTGGAGCGAAGAGAGCTCAGAAAATCAAGGGAGGCCACACACATAAACAACTGTGTGTGAAATCAATTAATCTAAACGAGCAGGAGACATATTCTTGAAGGAGAAAAGACTGGTTCTCACAGAAACCTCCCTTGTGTATGGCACTGGCGGGACTGTTACAAACATTACATCACTGGAACAGTGATGAGCTAGGTGAGTATTTTAAACTTTTTGGCTAGTATTGGCCAATATTTAGAGGAAGACTGGCGTTTGATTGTGTTGGAAGAGCATTCCACACTCTTTGTGACTATTTTAACAAGTGATTTTTATTACAGAAATGCTCACAGATACAGTGGTAGTGGGCTAAAGCGAGCACTGTTGAAGGGACCTGAATTTTGGCATCTTAACTTCAAATATTTGCCTGATAAATTTGGTTCCAGGCATTGCACTCACCCAGTCAGGGATAAGAAGCTATGCCTGTCATTCTTAAGTGTTTGAGTAATAGATACTGTCAGCATTACGTACACAAGCAACCTATAGGATAGGAATTACTTGCAGGAGTTTCTGTAAACAATTTTATACCTCAAATTAGGGAAAAATCTTGTATTGCTTTTTATAACAATCTGATAAGAAAAAGAGGTTTCCTCAAGTTGTTTGTTATGGACTGTTATTTGTCTCTGCGGTTGCAGGACTGTGAAAGGGGATACCGATGTCCAGGGATTTCTAAACCTGGTTAGCTCTTGGTCACACAGAGCAGCAGTGCCCAACTCTCCCACAGGAGGAGGGTTACTCATGTCTCAGCACGCTGTGGTCCTCTGCTTTACAGTGCCCAAGGGTCAGTAATTACGATCGTATCCCAGTTTCACTCTGCATCTCTTTAAATAATGGTCTCCTCTCGGCCGGGGCAGCGAGAACACGAGCAAAAAGCTGTGCTTGGCTCTCTTGGCTGAGGGAAGGACATGGAAATGAGGACTTGAGAGAGCACTCTTCATGGGAAAGGAGCAAAAGACTGGGGAATCTAGGAGACAGCTACTCCACTCAACCTCTTAAATTGTCAAGGAGAGGATGGAGCAGTGCAACTCTGAGAAATCAAAAGTCTCTGTGCTCGTAGTGTTACTCAGAATAAAGTCTTATCATGGCCACGAACCTTCTCTGGCTCTACATTAACTCCTATTTGGGAGTGGGGAAAATGGTAAGAGAAATTGTTTTGTGTTTTGCACTGAGGGCTCCTTAATGAATCACACTCTGCTTAGGCCAGCTCTGAGCTGAAAGTTCATCCTGTAGAGCAAGAAGTTCCCAAAGACTTGACCTAAAACCAGCTGTGTTAGGGAAAGCAGGCTGGGGGTCTTGATGGGTTACTCCTGTTCATGCAACCTCGTTGTTATGTTTTTCTGTGATTTCTTGATTCATTTCTGGTATAGAATGGATTTTTTTACTGATTTGAGAAGAAAAGGAAGTCTTTTATGACTAAGACTTCAGTGTGTAAGTTATTTTCAGTTGAGACCAGGAGATTGTGCAGCATGGAAGCCAAGAAGATGCCTTGTGTTCCTGTGTGGCAGCTGAGAGCTCTTCTGAGGAAGGCAGAAAGCCCTCCCTGTGGCTTTCTGGGGGAAGAGATTCATCACCCCATACGACCAGCTGGTACCAAAACCCTGGCTGGTGGATGCTTCTGAGTAGCCACTACCTTTTGTCGTTTTTATCACATTAATTTGGCTTATTTGCTCTCTGATTTGATGAGGCTGAGAAGAGATCTCAGGAGATCCCAGGCCCTCAGGGCAAAACCTCGGCTTCCTAGAGCTGTGTTCATTTTCCAACCCTCCCACAGCCCTGGGGTGACCCACCCTGGAGTCATGTCTCAGGGGAGGTGTCTGCTGGAATACACCAAGTCATTTGCAAGTTAGCTGTCTACACACTGCTGAAAATCACCTCCCTCGGGCACTTTTCTAGATCCCAAATCTTCGGGCACCCAAATATCACTGTTCAAGTGGGTTATTTTCCTCTAGTCTCACACCTGTGAAAGGAGAGTCCCAGAATGTTCATACGTCCACGATGCTTGTGTGGTGCTTACACCATTTTCTCTCACAAGCCTTTGGAGAAAGGGTAGATACTGATCTCACCTGCTACATTCTCCTCTGGCACTGGGATGGAAATACAAAGAACACTCAACCACACAAATAAATTAAACTGCTAATTTCCAGGACCTAATTACAAGTCTTGGGTTTGCCGCCTGACCTGAAAATAAAACTCCTCTTCCGAAGTTTCCTTGTTTGGGGGGTTTGTTTGTTTGTTTGTGTTCTTTTAAACAAAGCAAGTAAATGAGCCACTCTGCTGAGTAGGAGAGGATGGTTTGCCTGGTTTGTTTTCCTGTATTCCTCCTTGGGTTCTGCTCAGCCAGTTGTGCCCCACGCTGAGCTTTGGGAGGGGCATACAGGGCTAAATATATCTGCACTGCCGGTGAAATGCAGTATGGGGTGCTGCGTCATTTGGTGGAGTTTACTTGGAAACTGAAGTGGGAAGCCAGCTTTTATTTTCAGCCTTGGGTCAGATGCATTGGTCAGTTGTCTCACCCAGATTTTTAGTCTCGATCAGGAGTTTGTCCTTGAGAGACAGACATAAAACCTACTCTCTAATTGCAGCAACAAAATCACACTGGGGCAACCGTACTTTTCTCGTTCAGCAACCAGATTTACAGTCTGAGAGCTTCTTCGGATAGGTTACCTTTAAAACAGAAAAAAAAGTCATAGCTCAAATATCATGGCTTAATGAGTAGAGGAGCTGGTGTGATGCTGTGAGCTCTAAATATATCAGAAAGAACTCCAGCACTGGCAGCACACTGACAACTGGAGTCCTTGGGCTTTCACTTATGTTGGAACAGAAATGTATACCTCCAAGAAATGTGCAAGGAACAGATGCAACTTGGTGACTAAAAGAGGACTTTGGTTTTGCAATTTCTAGTTCAGCTTTTTGGCTTGTCTTCCTCTGCCGTTTCTGCTATTGCAGTGGGAGTTATTCCATGGAAAAGGAAGGTATTCCCACAGCGTGGAAATGCTGAAGGGTGGACACAGCTCAAGGCAGCCCACCTGAGCCCCCTCTAGTCTCTGCCACACACAAGCAACAGCAGCAGGGCAAGTGTGGCCATGTTGGTTACACAAACCTGCTGGGGATCCTCCAGGACTTAATCAGGCAAAGGAGTGGGTGGAAACCCTTGCTCTTTCTCCATGAGCTATCCAGGATCTCCTGCCTGCACATCTAACATACTGCAGTCACATCTCTGGCTGTTTAATACACTTTTAAATCTTCATCTTTATGCCTTTCTAAGGGAGGGGAACACCAGTGTTGCTATGTGCTTGTCTTACTGTAAAAGGAGGTAAGAAAGCTTTTCAGTTTAAGATTTTTTATTTATCTAACGGGATAAGAATGATGGAAATCAATTTCTGTCTTGTGCTTTATGGTGCCCAGCACACTGAGGCCTCTGAATATTCCTTCAGCACAAGCCACACATTGCAGACCGAAGCCATACAGCTTTGCTGGCAGAGAGTTCTTGGCATGCTGGAATCCTGGTCTACAGTGAGGAATCCGAAGGCTCCAGGATATGAACTTAATGTTAATGACTATAAAATATTCCATATTTCTCTTGGAGGATTCATTTATGGGGGTGAGGGCTGGGAACTGGGATTTATGGAGGTAACCCAGGCTCTGTCCCTTCTGTTAAGCCTGAGTGGCTCCTTTCCTTCATAGGTTTCAGCTGGGTACTGATGGGTGTGAGCAGCAGAGAGTGCAGAGGATTACCATTGCCATTTGAACCTGCCCAGGTGTAGTGCATCTTCTCTGTAACTCAGGACTGTGAGAGAGCAGATGGGAAGTACTTTTCTTTAGCTTCCCCTGTGAGCTCTACATCTGGTCGCGCTTTTTCAACTGTGCCGTGGTTCCTAGGAAGGTGAAAGGTAAGTGAACAATCCTAACAGATACTGTAGAAGTTTGGTAGCTTTGTATCTCCTTGGCTTTCCTGTACTTTGTTGCTTGGTGTTTTACATCTGCAAAATTATCTGTTCCCTACATCTTCGCTTCCGTTGGTACCGCCACCTCAGCCCTGAGGAGCTGGTGCAGCTTCTGTAGCTGGGATTACCTGGTTTCTGTGGTGGTGTGGTTGGGCTCAGGGAAGGTTTTTTTTCTAGCAGAAGTAGGCAAAATTAACAAATAACTGTCCCACAGCAGCGTGCTCCAGCTGCTGTATCAAATGCTGTGGCATAGACTGAGTACTCATGGCTTTTATTCAACTGTTATGTGAAAAGTAGGTGCTGTTTGCACAATGTGCCAAAAAAATACCTCTCGCTGTTAGATGAGGAGGTGCTGGATGGAAGTGTGTGTCTCACTTCAGATTATTAACTAAACCATAATAGCATGTAATTAACCATTCAGAAGTAAGAGCTGCTCCAGCGTGACGTTTGTTCCCTTCCTTCTTTCCCCCTTAAGCTCTTCTCCCTATGACTGTTATCCCTATGGATCACCTCCTGGCCAGGCATTCTGGCCATCTCATATCAGTGGGCAGGTTCCAGCCTAAGTGGTTTTGAAGAGCATTTGTGGCCTTGCCTAGAATTTAGCTGTGGAAGGTGATGAAATTTGCTGGATTGGTCACTGTCCCTGCACAGAGGGCAGGTTGTGTGATCCTGAGTGCTCATGAGGACAGTAAGTGGTTTTGCCCTTCGATAATGCTGCTGGTGCTCAAGCTGGAGTTTCTCAGAGTTACTCTGGGAATGCTGAAGGTATTTGGTGTGTGTTTCAGTATGTCAGTGTTCCCAGTCCCTAGATCCAGCCTGCAAAGGGCAGCTGATCTTGAGATACTGAGTTCCCAAACTGCAGGTTCCCAGTCTCCTCTGCAGGGTGATGGCACCAGAGGCTGTGCTGGGCAGGAAAAATGTGCACCCCTCCACCAGTTCTGCTCCTTGTTGCAAGTGTGAATGTAAAGCAGCAGCCTCTGCTCTCCCTTTGGCTTCTACAAGGGCCTCTCCTTTTGGCGTCATTGAGAGAACAGCTGATGGGTTCAGGGCTCCAGTTTTGGGGAGCAGCCCGGACTTAGAGCAGCAATTCATTCAGCCATCCCAGCCAAAGCAACTGTGGTCTTCCCTGCCATCAGTGGGCAGACTGCAAGGGCATGGGGCAAGAAGGGAAAAGGATTGGGAAGAGCAGGGACAGAAAAGGAAATTACCAGGGAGAGAGGATGTGGTACCCCAGCTGTGATACCGCACATGGGAGGGAAGATTTGATCACTCACCTCCCAGTATTGACACTGCTGTGCTGGTGAGCCTGGCACAAAAATCTCACGTAACTAATGGGCAGTGGTGTGCGTGGAAGGAGATGGAGGGGATGTGGTGACACAGAAGATTAACCCCACTGCCGTGAGCTTTTCTCTGTTGGCATCTATCTCCTGTTCTGCATTTTCTCACCCTTGCTTAGTTAAGGGCTATTAGTTCCCAAATAAATCCTGTGCACTGTTCATATTCTGTGTAGGAAAGCTGCAAAGAAATCCCATACCTGCAGAAAACAAAGTAGGAGATAACTATTTTTTTTAATTCCTCAGTGATTACTGAGCCACTGTTGCAGGAAAGAAAAAAAAAAGAAAAAAAAAATAGACAGTTGTATCATGGGAAAAATGATCTTTCTTGTAGGATATAAAACTTTGAGTCTGACCAGTGAAGGTCTCCTGATACTGATGCTAATCCTGCACAGGTTTGGCTGTGCAGTACTTACGTAAAACACGTGACAATTCCTTCTGTAGTTTCAGTAGAAATTTCTCATTTCCTAAACAAGCGTGCTGTGTTCCTGCGTCCTGTTAAGCCTCTGCTGTGTACTGCCCCAGCAGCCCTGCCTTAACAGCTCGGCTGGTTTGCTGGGTGGTTTGGAGCCTTTTGATGGAAGGTGCTATTTAATTATCAGCGGTGTTATGTTCCCGGAGCTCGCTACATGAAAGCAAAATACCGGCAGTCTGTAATTAATCTAAGCTAATGTGCCACTGTTTACACTCCATCTCCGAAACCAGACAGATGTAAGAAGACACCCAGCCTTCATCTGGGATCCTCCCAGGTTATTTCTGAGCTATCTTTGGAGAACTGCAGCGAGCGTATCTACCCACCCCGCGAGTGCCTCAGAAATGAGTACCTTTAACTTTTCTCGGGAATGAGTGGGAGACTTTGTTTCCTAGCAGGGAGCAGGGTTAATGCCTTTTCGTTTGTGTTACCGCAGCTGACGCTGGCTGGCATGGCACGGGAGCACATAACTCCTCCAGCAGTCATGAATTTTGCAGTGTGAAAGGGTCTGAGGTAATAAGCCCTGCTTCCTCCATCTCTCCCCTCACTTTGGTTGAGCAGGAGGCTGCTGGCAACAGGGATGTGTGGGATCTCTTTGGTGGGAAGACGAGTGATTCTCTGGGACTCCGGTCTTTAAAAATAAAATATCGTGCGTTCATTTCCGATCGCTCTGCTACAAATATTTAACAGAACAAGGTGATGAAAATGCCTAGAGGTGTGGAAAGACTGAAAAGATTATGTATCCTTCGTTAGAGTGAAGAGTAATAAAAAGCAATATGACAGAAGTATATAAACTTAGAAGTACAGAGAAGTAAACCAGGCATTCCTGTGTATACTTTTACATAATACAAGGTTTCCAATGAAATTGAAATAAAACATCTGACACATGTGAAACTTATTTTTTTTTGGTTACTGCACATAAATAATTGAGACTGAGAACACAGTAAAATACAGAAAGGATTAGATATATGGATAAAAATCTTACGTGCAGTTTATTAGTTTTATTCTAGCTGGTTTAGAAGGTTTGAGTCTTCCTGCTCCTGGACAGTCTTCCAGCTGCAGCTGGTTAAATGCTCTTCCTGGCCCCATAAAACTCTAATACCCTCCTTTGAAACATCTGACAGCGGACACTAGCTTAGAGGAGTCATTGCCTAAGCCTTGCATTCCCGAATGTCTCTGCATTGAATGATTGCTATAAACCTGGCTGGGATCAGAGGTGACCACAGCTTTCTAATCACCTGAAGGCTGAGATGTAGAATATGAGGATGCTGTTGTTACCCTCACGGACTGTAGATTCAAGATGACAGTTACCCATCCGTCAAACCACCATCCCAGGTGTCTGAACAACCTCTTTGATAGTCATCCACTCCAGTGTTATGGTGGTTAGGTGACCTCTGCAGGTCTGAGCCGCAGCAGGAAATGTTACACCATCAGAGCCTGTGCAGCTCCATCCTCTTGGGGAACAAGGCATTTTAGGTGTTTCATTGGCACTTTTTTTCAGCAATATGTTTCATTCAGTCCAAGCGAATTGTAAGCAGCTTAGTCACGTGGGGAAGACTTCTGTTGGGTTTGACTTTTCCTTGTTATGACTTTGAGCTCTGATTGTTTTCAGTGAACACTGATTTATCCCCTTGGGAATAAATGCTGGTGCAGAGTAGAATCCTCCACAGCACACTGGGCACATTGTATGCTGGGGCATCCGAGGGATACCCAGGACAGGCTCCCTGCTTCTACAGCCCAGCATTTTGCTGGTTGATCAGAGTTAGCCTGCTAGCATTGCTGGAGAGAATTAAAAATTGTAATATCCAGCAGAGGGTGCTCAAAAACAGATATCCCGAGTAATCGAGTACTGCTGTACCTCTGCACTCCAGTTCTCTGGCAGCTGAGCTCCAGTTTTTGGTGGCTGTGGCTGCACTGGCAGGCAGAGTGGGCCGGGAAGAGCGGACCTGGAGGGTGAACAGTTGGTGCTGAAGACATGGCACCCATGCACTAGCACTGTGGGGTGGGGGAGTGTTATTTTGGATGAGTTTTTGTCTGACCCCATGGTTGTGGAGGAGGAACATGAGGTATCCTCCTCAAGCACAGTCTGCTGTGCAGTTTCATCCAGACAGAATCCAAATTGCAAGCTCTAAGGCTGCTCAAAGTTGCAAACCACTGCATGGGTAGTGGGATGGGTGGGGGACTTGCTTCAGAAGTGAATCCCTATTTGATCTACAGTACCAGTGTTCTCATGGCTGTCTCTGAGTTGGTAGTGGTCAGGTTTGCTGTTGAGTCCCTGTCACTTCTGTCAAGCTGATCCTTTTTGCCATGCAGGTGGGTGCAGAATACTTTGGCTGCTCTCTGTTCAAGGCAGTTTCTGGCCTCTGAGTTTTGAACTGAACTGAAATTCTCCAAGTGCACCTCACTCAGTTTGATCAGATTTTTTTCTTGTCCAAACTGCAAGGTACAAAGCAAAACTGTAGCTTGGTCCCAACTGTGTTCAGAAAGCCCACAAACTTTTTGATGAACCCGGGATGAATTTTTGTGCCCAGATCCAGGTGTATTTTTCATGTGTTTTTCAGACTGTGTGTTGTAAATGTCACATTGCTCCAAAATGGAGTCCCCAGAGCATGTGATCAGAGCACTGGGATTAGGAAAGAAGAGGAGGAATTTTCTTCAGGTAATTACAGGCAGCTGAGTTGCCTGTGGGGAAAAAAATCCTGCTGATGCTCAGCATCTTTAGAGAATTTACTGTAGAGTAGGCATCACTTGAACTCTGTGTCCAAGGGGGAAATACCTGTCGGGTCCATAACCCAAGGCACTCTTGGATTGAAGAAAGATCATAGGTCATGATTATATCGAATGCAAAGACTTCACTTCTTTCCTTATAAATCTCCCTTATTTTCCCTAATGCCTTTTCTACTGAAAATATCCCAGAATGTTTAATCAGCGTACCTAATTAATAGCACCGTCTCATCTTTATAGCACTCTCTTATATGGTTTTTTTCACCAGTATCTCTCAATGCATTTTACAGAAGAGATTCCTCTCATGATCTCCCTTTTGCACATGGGGTAACCAAGGGAGAGAAGGTGGAAGAGGCATGCTTAGGTTATGCAGCCAGCCAAAGGTGGGGTCAGCAATAAAATTCCAGGTTCTTAGT